TTTTTTTTTTTTTTTTTTGAACACACAAGTGCTTCCATTCAGCTTCCATGGATGATTTCCACAAAAGCTTGTTCTTAAATGTCTGTACAATTTCATCCCTTTTGCAACACAATCTGGGCCAAAGGAAAATGATGTACAAGAGAACTGGCCAGTTCAGCCAGTAGCTTAAGCATGTGATGGACCCAAAGGCATCTCTGAAGCTGCCAACACAACTGCCTGTAGAATCTGCTAAGGAACCAGATGCAGCAGAAAAATACCTTCCACAGCTTGGCATCTGTGTCTCGTGCTTGCCAAGTGAAAAGAGGGAGAGGGGTGTGGAGAGGAAATGGCTCAGGGCTGGGGGCTATTTGGCACCCCAGCGACCCACAAACGGTTTGGGTTTGAGCTGAGAAACTGCTAACACTAATGTAAAAAGCGTGTGTTCTAAAATCTGAAAAGACCTCATTTAAATTTAAAAAAAAACCTCCAGTCAATTCTGTAAACTGAACCGACTGAAATATCAATCTCTTTTATGTAAAGAAAGGTCTTTAAAGAGGGAGAAAAGAAATCTCAAGTTTTATACACAGATTAAATTGATTGTAATAAATCAAAGTGCCTTTAACAGTGGCATTACAGTTGATGCTGAACGTCTCCCTGGACCCTAGAGACGCTATTCCAATAGTTGAATCTTAGAGTTCAAATGTGATTTGTTTGCTTGATGTGTGTACCTATGCTTACTGCTTGAAGCAAGATATATGGCAGGTGTTTGAGCTCTTTGGAAAATTTGCTGCCAATGTTACCTTAATTTCTTCTTCTCAGCAAAAATGTAGAAGCTAAATGGTTCTTTCAGTTATTTAAATGTACTTAGCTTTACATGCCTCTTTTTAGATAGGAATGAAATGCCTGCGAGGCATCGCAAGTGTGCTGGTGAGCCAGACTCTTAGTAGCCAGAAACTAAGGGCCCAACCCAGTCCCCTCAGCTGTGGATGTCCAGGGACAATGTCCAGCAGGGCTCTCAGGAGCAGCATCTCCGATGGTGAGCATGTTCCATTGAATCATTTCAAAATCCTGAATACATCAATTGGATCTGTCCTCTATACTGTTTCCATCATGCATTTCAAAAGGAGGGTAATGGAGCTAAGTGCACCTTGGCTGGGAAATCATAATAGTTAAAAGGCAAATTCCTTTAGCCTAGTGCTGCTGCCTTTTACTTACATTGCAAGCTCTTTGGGACAGGGTTGGCCCTTTGTTTTAGGTGCTGCACAACACTTGGAACCGTCCTTTAAAGATTATCACCGGCATCTTGAGAACTGGAATGTCCTTTTGAAGATGACTTGACTGCTGTGCTCTAAGTTTTCAGTGTGCAGGTTTCCACCCCCCTCCTACAGGACTGATGCTAGTGTACATGCATGATGACACAGAAAGCCTAGAGGATAGTTTTACCATGAAGCTGACAGATGGCAAGCACACAGTCCAAGGGACACTTTACATCTACATCATGCCAGTCAACGATGAAATCCCTCATCTTTCCAGGTTAGCTGTTTAAGTGACATTCAATGCAAAATGACTTAAGAAAAAAACCACCCACTGTGGACAGAAAAAACCTGTTTTCTTTTTAATTGTGAACATTTTAAATAAATAATTCCATGGGTAGAAGAAATGTACCTGCTGCTGGCACAGCAACATGTCTGGACTGCAGCCTGAGCCAGACTTCAGCTAAAGCCGTTACAGACTAAAAATAATCCAGTGACAAACATTCATATATAAGACGGTGCTTTTTGAGGACACTGGATAAAATCAATATTGAAATCAATAGCCAAACTTTCATTGACTTGGCTTACATTAGGATTTTACCCTTTCTCCATCTTCTTCACCCTCCCAACTGATTTTTTGTCTGCGACAAATTTTTCATTCTCCCAAAGACAAGCAGGGTTCTTTGGGAAGATATGATATCTTTTGTTAGACCAACTAAATAGTTGGAAAAAACGGTGTTTGCAAGCTTTTGGGCACAAGTGCCCTTCTTCAGGCATTGGGAGACTCTGCTGTTGTTTTCAGATCTCCAAGGTAGAAAAGAAGCTAAAAGTGTGACAAGAAGTCTGTGAAAATGTAAATGGGTAGAAGCATTCTCCCAAATGCACTTTGGCAAATTAATCCTTTTGACCACAGCACAGTGAGTTTAATATAGATGTTCTTTAGCAGATCCCACTCTGGTGAAGTTGGTGTTAGTATTTCCACTGACTTCAATCGGGTCAAGTATTTTTTTACCCCATGGAAACTGGGTTTCAAAACCCTGTCTTGGCTCCAAGAGGGAAAAGCAATCTGGCCTCCAGTCAAGCAAGCTATTGTGCCCTTTCATGTGATTAATACTGTCTGGTCAAAGGGGAATGGGATGGGAGTGGGACAATGTAGGCCTGACATAGAAGTAAGCCCACTGAAGTCATTAGACTTTAAATCAGGGTTTAAAAGACTTGTGTGAAAGTCTTGTACAAAGCCAAACTGGATGGGAGGAACATAGAGTAAAAGACAGGTTTTTTTCATTTATTGGCTTGAAATTCAGAAAAATAAAGGCTGATTCCATGGTTTAAGTGTGACAGATGTGAAAGAGTTGGTTTGACCATTTGTTTCCAAAATTTTCCCCCTAAATTTTTTGGCAGAGGAAATTCCTTCAAAAACATTCCTTTCCCCTGGGCACTTTTGGTTTTTTTAGAAGTCATAATTTTCAGATTCAAAAAAATATATAGTTTCATAGAAAATTCCTGCCTGGTTCTCTTCATGTAGATAAGTGCCTTATTTCTGTCCCAAAGCAAAAATCCACATGCTTAGTCAAATCGCTGAAAGGAAATACATTGAAAATTCTCTAGATTCGGGGGGCTTCTTGCTGATGTTTTTGTTAGGGGTGGTTTTCACAAATTCACTTCAGGTTCTCCTTTAGAGAGAAGTAGCAGCCTGGTGTGTGGAGTGTGGTAGCGACACTCCGCCCATTTGAAATGGCTTTGGCTATGTTCCCAG